ACGCTGCCTTTGTGAACTTCCGGTGCTTTTGTCGAGAGTGTTACTCTTCGGCGCGATCCCGTCTCCACGGTCGATCCGCCCTGGAAGGTGTAACACCTCTCTGACCTGCTTCGCCTAGTGATACACTTTGGCGCGATCCCGTTTCCGCGGTCGATCCGCCCTGTGGAGTCGTATTACTGTTCTGCCTTGGCCCTGTTTAGGGACACCGTCTTCGCAAAGTGATACGCTTTGGCGCGATCCCGTCTCCGCGGTCGATCCGCCCTGTGAAGTCGCATCACTGTTCTGCCTAGGCCCTGTTTAGGGACTCCGTCTTCGCTATTCTGCCGAACCAGCTACGTTCGCCGACCAACCCTAAACTACCGGGCCAGATCAACCCTAAACTACCGGACCAGACCAGCTACATTCGACCGAACCAGCTACGTTCGCCTACCAATCCTAAACTACCGGACCGGATCAACTACATTCGACCGAACCAGCTACGTTCGTCGATCAACCAGTCATACCGGACCACACCGATGTAAACGTGTTAATAAATTCGACACTTTTGTTCATAACCAAAACCTTTGCCTTTGTCCCGTCATTGTCTTGGCTGTTCACATTTATCGTACATAAAAACCTTGCGGGGGCGACATCCTACTCGGCCCCGCAACATTACTCAAACACCCACCCAAGAGGTCAAAAGCGAGTGTACTTTTATGCAATTTGACATATCTAACTTTTACTCGTAGATCACTGAAGATCTGTTAAAGGCTGCTATAAGCCTGGCAAAGAATTATTGCACTTAACCTTAATTACCGTTAAGGTCCATACGAGCGATTTCCCCAACAACCCACAGTTTCGATTGCTTATTCCCCTAAGAATAACATAGGCAAGATCAGCAAAGCCATACTTAAAAGAGCTTGTAATTACACCAGGAACGTCACAGAGGTCAACCAGTGGAGAAATACCAAAGACACTATAAATTGGTTCACTAATATAAAAAAAACAAAAGCGAGTGTACTTTTATACAATTTGACATATCTAACTTTTACCCGTAGATCAATGAAGTTCTGCTATAAGGGCTGCTATAAGCCTGGCAAAGAATTATTGCACCATTACGAACGAGGATATCAGTATAATCATATAAGCCTAAAAGCTCATACTATATCGCAATGGTTCTTTCTGGACCAAAAAAAGACAATCCCAACTTCTCTATAGCGATGGGATCCTTCGACTCCGCGTAGCGTGCGAATTAATCAGTATACTATTATTATGGAGGCTCAGATATATTTTCGATAGTGAGAGAGTCACAAAATACTGACCGGTTTAGGAAACAACTAATAAAATTCTTTAAGGATCACAGACTTAACATCACCACTGTCGCCAATGCCAAGGTGATCAACTTCCTAAACATTACGCTCGATCTGTCCAGAGGAGTGGACATGCCTTATAATAAGGAACTTTATAATCATATATATATATATTAGTAAAGAATCTAGCCACCCACCGTGTAGCCTTAGTAACCTTCAGAAATCTGTACAACACAGACTCTCCACTGACTCCAGCAACAAGTACATCTTTGACAAATACAAAACCTAAATATGTTGATGCACTACACAAAGTAAGCACAATGTTGAACTAGATTACATCCCCAGCACTAATGTAAATATCAATAGAAAATCTAAATATAGAAAACGTAACATTATTTGGTTCAATTCGCCCTTCAACAGTAACCTTAGAACCAACATCGGTAGTATCGTTCTTAAATTAGTACACAAACATTTTAGTTATAATCCTTTATCATAAAAATCTTCAGCAAGAACAACGTTAAGGTTAACTACAGATGCACTAAATTCTTTGAGCAATACTTAGCCCAACATTATAGTTTAATTCTTAAGGAATACATAAGCAGCACTAGTAGCAATCGTAGTTCTGATGACCAAAAGTGTAATTGTCGTAAAGGTACCCTCTGTCGCATGAACGGTAAATGTATGTATAAAGGAGTTATCTATAATGCTAGCATCAAAGACAATGACCAGATTAAATCTTATTTCGAATCCACCTCTAATAATTGGAAAAGGCATTTTTATCATCACAAAATGACTCTTAACAACAAAAAATACGAAAACGCCACAGCGCTCTCTAAGTTTTACTGGAACATCAAAACAGATGACAACAGTCCCGATGTAAATTGTGAATTCGTAGCCCAAACCAAGCCATTTTTCGGCAGAGTGAGAGCGATGCAATCTATGTCTATCCGAAAAGGTATTCATCCTCAAAAATATTAACAAAGTAGATCTAATTAATAAGCGAAATGAAATCATGATAGCCTGTAAGCAAACAAAAGCGTTTCTCTTAAAATATTGGAAACCCTGGTAATTTCCTCTTTATTATATTATCCTTTTATTAAATTTTCTTTTAATTTAGCTTAAGGTCGTCACATCGCTTACCTCCCTTTAACCCGTCGACGGTAATATACTAGATCGAGAGCAACGTCCACAGTTATGACTTTAAATTTGAAACTTGAAATTTCTAACTTTTAAACGCACATCCCATATATATATATATATATATATATATATATATATATATATCAAAGTATATAATTGGTATACACGGAATGAATTCCAATAACCAACAATTACTATTCTTAAAAGAGTGCTCAATACAAAGTAGAGCAGATATAATTATTTTTAAAAAAAAATTATAACATAAGTATGTTATAAAATCACTTCAAAAATAGCTATTTTGTAGTGATTTTATAACATACTTATGTTATAATTTTTTAAAAAATAATATATATATATATATATATATATATATATATATATATATATATATATAAATGAACACTAACTGCAATTCATTTGCTACAACTTTTGCACTATTTTATTTTTTGGACTATAAAGCAGCGTCTCTACCATGCGTCATCTGTGTATTTTTATTTTGTGCCCGATGAGCTGGTAAAACTGGCGAAACTTAAGTCGCACAGCTGAACGTAGGTATTTGTATATGTACCTTTATTAATATATATCTTTGCTCAGTCTAACCACATCGAGGACTATTACGTTTACACCTCTTGGCTAAATTTGCTGATTATTTATTTGCTTGCCTGTGTATACACGCCAACACGCACGTATGCGGCTGCTTATATCTGGTCATTTGATTTACCTAGCCATATATATATATATATATATATATATATATATATATATATATATATATATATATATATATATATATATATATGGCTAGGTAAATATATATATATATTAATGCACGCATTGGACGGAAAATAAACAAAACCTTTTGTACAGACAATTTACGCATCGCACGAGCCACATAAAAATTTCTCGTGTTTTTGCTTCACCAAACTAGCTATAGAAAAAAATCAAGGATTGGTCGATTTGGGGCCAATCACATTGACACTTTCTTCAATATCCTTCCCGCGCTCGTTCTTGGAGCCACCTTACATCTATATAAAGCAGAAATTAAAGAAATAACTTTAGTAGATTATAAATTTTCACAATCTAAATCACGTACGTGTATATTCAATTTTCTACTCACAAACACACAAAGGCATAAACTACACTTACACAACACAGTGAACTATCTGTTTTCAAGCCAAGTGAACTATTCGAAACTATTCTTCTGAACGACTTAATTTTTATTGTCATTATTAACAGAATTATATGTATATGCTTGTTTCAATACATGTTTTACTTGTTGATTTTCATTGATCTCTCGTCATTCCTTTTTGTGTTTTCTTTACAAATTTAATGTGGAATGTTAACACTATTAGCTACCCCACAAACTGTTTCATGCTAAAGACGCAATCATCAGGCCACCATATATATATATATATATATATATATATATATATATATATATATATATATATTATAAATTAATTGATTTAAAATATGGTTTTTTCATGTTTCAAAAAAAATGGAAGCTAAAAGCCACGAATTTAATTTTGCAATTAAATTAAAGACATTAGTTCCATTTCATCCTCAAGCGAATTTTGGAGTAACTTTTAAAATTACTGGGTTTTAAAGACACAGCTAAAATCACGTTTCCATGGTTACAGATAAATCTTCGCTTGAGGATGAAATGGAACTAATGTCTTTAATTTAATTGCAAAATAAAATTCATGGTTTTTAGCTTCCATTTTTGAAACATGGTTAGAACTGTGTAGCGGAAAAAATATCAATCAATTTATAATACTCTGTAAATTTATATCGAGCACTATTTTGTAAAAATAAAAATACAAGAACACCGGATTCCGATTATCTTACTGTTCTTTCTTTTTATATATATATATATATATATATATATATATATATATATATATATATTATCATTATTACTTTCTCTTTTTTTTTCACTTTTTATTTCAAGCTTCATTTTTCTATATCAACCCCGCAAAAATGAATTCATCAAAATTCTTCGTATTCAGTTGAGGAACTTTAAGAGTCTTCTGTAGTTAAGCATATTCAACAGGGGAGATAACTCTATTTTTTTATTTCCACATGTCCTTCACCGCTGTGTGTAGGGCTAGTGATTCGACCTCTTGTAGTTTCCCTGGTATTTTGTTTCGAAAACAGTATGTCAACCAATCTTGTGACCTTTGTATATATCCTAGCAGTTGATACAACTTCATCTGCAGTGTAATATTGTTTTGGATACTTAATTTAAGTCAAGAGCGCGTTTTCTCACATGGTTATCAATATCTTGTGATTTTTGGGTGGGAGGGTTTCAACCTTTAAGGTATTTCTCTTAAAAAAAAAAACCAAAAAAAAAAAAAAAACCGTTGATGCTTTATTTATTATTTACAAATATTTTTTTTTTCTGATTTTTAAATGTGGAAGTTATTCACTTTGAGTCCACACTTTAACTACATCCAAATCCACAGTACTTCATGCATTTTTTTACCATTCGAACGTCTTCCAAGGAAACACGTGTTGCCCGCGGGTCAACAAGCAAAACTGTTTTCTTGTAGGAAACTAAGCCAAGTAAAAATGCCGATTGCAAAAGGTCGACCTTTTTCCTACTGTTATTGCCGTGAGTAAAATAAATTTAATCTCCCCCCCCTGTATTATACTTTTGTTAAAATTTTATTCAATTTTCTTTGACGTCTGAGAAAATTAAAATAAAAAATGCTGTCAACAAACGTTTAAAAAATAAACTGTTTTCCAACATTATTTTTTATTTTAGTTAATTAGTTTTTGTTTAAACTGCGACCAGAAAGAGTCTCTTTTTAAAATAATTACTTTTCTCTAAATCACGATTAATAAAAAAAATGATACTAATTAAATTTTATAAAATTAATACGGGGTATTTTTTTATAAAATGTAAAAATTAATTTTTTATGTAGCCAAAACAAAATATCCTCAAACCACGTGATTTTTTAAGTTTAAAAAAAAATATTCTAATTATTTTTCTTAATTATTAATATCGTGTTCTTTTTTATTTTTATTTTCATATCACTATCGATTAAACACTCCAGATTATAATTTTTTTTACATTATTAAGAAGTCACGTTGTTATCAGTAGGCTATATTTGTTTTGGCTTCCGTAGGTGAGTGTAACTGTAGTAGTGTAACAATATACATTTTTTTTTTTATTTTACTACTTACAATGAATACAATTATAGCAAAATGTGTCTCTAACTTTTATAATTTTTTAAATTATTATTCGTGGTCTGGATTGCTTAATAAATTAAATATAATTATTTTGTTTTTATTTTTTTCAAATTCTTTTGAATTTGAAAAAATAATTTTGGTCTCTGTAACGATTGCAAACCAAAATTCCACCATTTGCGTCAGTAGCGGTCAGACAAAAAATATGGGGTAAATTTTGCAGATGATGCCCCAGTGACTAATTTTTTAAAAAATGCTTTATTCCTGAATTTCCTGGTTCTAAAAAGACCTGAAAAATAGCAATAAAAATTGAGGAAACTCTACCATTTTATTTGTTACAGTAAAAATAAAAAGATGATTGGTAGATATGATACAATAGTAGCACTAAATTTCTTATATAAGAAAATAAATCATAAATATCCTTTTGTCATAAACTGAGTAGCTTTCTTGAAAGGTTTTTTTTTTTTTTTTTTTTTTTGTAATAGTTCCAGATACTGAGACAATTGGATGAAATTAATAGTTCTGTTAGTAAGACCATCCGATTAAAAGAAAAAAATCAGCACAGATAAGATAAAGGAAAGCCAAAAATTGGGTGGGTGAATGATAGACAAACTGTGTAACACAGTAACTTTTTTTTTTTTTTTTAAAGTTAAATTCCCAAGTGAAAAAGTATTACCGGACATGTAAATTGGATTTCAGAATAATTCAAACCATTTTTGTTTTGGTAAATTTGCAGATAATGCCCCTGTGACCAATTTTTAAAAAATGCATTATTCCTGGTGTAAAAAAAAAATCTGATAATTACAAAAACAGCAATAAAAAAAATGAGGAAACTCCACCGTTTTTAGGAGATATTGCCAATGTTGGGTCCCGGGTACAGTCAGGAATCTGAAGGGTACTCGATATAGTCAGGGATTGACCTCAGGAACAGAAATCTAACAACATATTGCTTTAGGTAAACAGTGGCGACCAGGCTGTACCCGAGGCTCAATTAAAATTGGAAATATCTCCTAGTCTACCCTACATTTTCTACTCTATGGTATGATATTTTATTTACCAACTGTTGGAATTGGAAGTATGAAATAGTGTTGTTAAACAAAAGGCATTGAACTGGTTATGTATTAAAAATCACTAACAATATATATAAAAAAAAAAAAAAACTATATAAGCAATCATTAAATAGTGATCTTTAATTTATGTAAACTGATTTGATGTCAATAAAAAACCCCCAAAAAAAAACAGTAAACAGGTCATCATTTTTCCTGAGTATTTTTCAATAATAATGAGTGCATCGTCATTTACGGTAGGTTGCAAATGCCTTAGTAGATATCATACTAATAGCACTAGAAATTCTATGTCCAGAACATAAATTTTTAATTCCATGTACTACTTGGTTTAGGAATTCAGTTTTTCTTCTAGATTGGTTAAGAGCTCAGCCTGCCTTACTATTTAACCCATAGCTGGAGGGAGAAGAGATGGATTCATACTTTTTCCAGAGGGTATTTGTGTGAAAGAGCATGTAACAAATTCAACTGGAATTTGATTATGGATGTGCAGGTGGAGTAATGGATACGATGATGGCATGGAATGAGAAATCGGAAAGCTGAGTTCAAATTCAAGTCAGCCTCGTTGTATTCACTTACATGCAAACACCCTTGGAAAAAGGGGTGAATTGATCTCATCCTTCCGGCTATGGGTTAATTATATCTAGGAAAATAGTTGTTACAAGCCAAAAATCTGTCTTGCAAACATCTTTATAAATTAAATTTATTTGTAAGTAAGAGTGTACAAATGAAAAGATTTGAAATTGACAAAAAATATTGCAATGACTCATAAATATGAATGCTGGTCCCTTTTAGGAAGTAAGGGGGTACAAATGAAAAGATTTGAAATTGACAAAAAAATATTGCAATGACTATCATAAATATGAATGCTGGTCCGTTTTAGGAAGTAAGGGGGTACAAATGAAAAGATTTGAAATTGACAAATTTTTCTATTTCACAATGAGTTTATTTTGTTGATTTTTTTTATTCTCACTAAAATCAGTAAAATCGTCCATATTGACAAATCTGTCAACACAGCATGATTCTCTTTATTAAAAACGTCTTTCAAAAATAGAATATACTTTTCTGAAACTTTATTTGAGCAAGATTAATTTGTTGCAGAGTGATTAGTTTGTTTTAAATATCAGAAGGTATTATTTGGCTGTGTGAATAAAACAACTCCAAAAACATTTAATTTTGCTTGCATGACACAAAGCTGTCAAACACCACAACAATAGACAAACATATTTTCAATAATATAAAGCATTTATATACACAAATTGAATGGTGAAAATTACTCAGGAAATTTATATTGATTTTGAAAAGTTTAATATTAGTGTTTCACAAACCAAATAATGTTTTTAATGGCAAAGTGTCTTTGCTTGATATATTAAAGGGGTATGCCAATAAAGTATGATTTGTAATGGATAGATCAATTTGGAATTAAACAAACTTTTTAAAACAAATCTATTTTTTACTAAAGAATTTTTTTTAGAACACAGGAGTTGCTTTTCCATTTATGATTAGGAAATATGGTTTTTAATTTACCTTTGTCAGTTTGAATTGCTTAAAACTGAAAGTTTAATTAATCTGAATTAAAATAACTATTACTTTTAAAATAGTTTACAATATCACAGAATAGCTTTTTTAACATGGAGGTAAGTTTTTGTGTTGACACATCTATACTTGATGTTTGCAAGATTTATATCAGGAAGAAATAATTATTTTAAGCATTCTAATATTTTATTAAATTTTAGGTACTTTGGCTTTATAGTCTTACTTACAAAGACGCTTGTTGAGGAAATGTTATAAAATTACCATTAAATTTACTTTTGTTACCACTTTTATTTTCTGATAATTCCATGGAGAGATGTTAGTATTTACAAAAATTGGCAGGTTTATACTTACACACACACAAAAAAAAAAATTAAAATTTTTTTTTAAAATACTGGGGCTCACTGAATTGTAATAAGCTTTTCCATTTACTATTAGGAAATATGGTTTTTAATTTACCTTTATCAGTTTGAATTGCTTAAAACTGAAAATAAATAATAATAATAATCTTTTAATAATTAATAAATAAATAATATCAACATAAAATAATAAATAAATAAAATAATAAATAATATCAACATAAAATAATAATAAATAGATAAAATAATAATAATAATAATAAGCTTTTAATAATAAATAAATAATATCAACATAAAATAATAATAAATAAATAAAATAATAAATAATAAGCTTTTTAATAATAAATAAATAATATCAATATAAAATTGAATATAATAAATAAATAATAAAATTGAATTAAATAAATAAAATAATAAATAATAATAATAAGCTTTTAATAATTAAATAAATATCAACATAAAATAATAAATAAATAAAATAATAAATAATAATAATAAGCTTTTTAATAATAAATAAATATCAACATAAATAAAATAATATATAAATAAATAAAATAATAAATAAATAATAATAAGCTTTTAAATTAATTGATTTTTATTTAATAGTAATATCACTTTGTCACTACAAATAAATACAATTTTAAAAGTTCATAAAAATTCTAATTTTAAAAAAATGAAAACAATTCTTGTAAAAATTCATTATTGATCAAAAAAAATTTTTTTCATAAGATCAGTGTGCATAATATATTTTATTCATAAAAGCAATTCTAATTAAATAATGTTATAGTTTTATTGCATTTTTTATTTTACAATTCAGAGCAGATTTTCTGGAACTGGTGGCACTGTTTGACCAAAATAATTTAATAGTTTAAATTCTTCTAGGACTTGTCCTTGTAACTAATATAAAAATTAAGTACTGCAAAAAAGAATTTCTCAAAATTCCATAGAATTAAGTGTGGGGTAACAAATGTAAAAGAAATATTCTTACCAAAATTTTCTAAAAAAAAAATGTTTACAAATAATTTAATTCATTTGTCAATAACTCCTAAAAGTTTAATTAAGATCCAACAATTATCTGATTTTTACAAGAATTTCTAAATGAATATGTTTTTCAGCACAAAATGATGCTCAAATATCTCATACAAATTATTAGATTGTTCTAATTCCACGTGCCATACCTTCGGAACAATCTACTCTCATGGACTAAACGAAGTGTTCAGTTTGAAATTCCAAATATCATCTGAAGAAGGCCGGAACATACAATAGCCGAAATGTTATGAATATGACAATAATGATGAGGACAACGGTCTAAACAGTGTAAATGGTTACAATAACTCATCTCAGAAATATATACGGAAGAAGGTCGGAGTGTACAACGGCCAAAACATTGTGAATATGACAATGAAGATGAGGACAATAATCTGAACAGTATAAATAGTACACTACATCATCGCAGAAATATAGACAGAATTTAAAAATTTGTTCAATATTTTTCTTTTAATTTTTCAGGTGGCATTTATAGCAAAATGGCTCGATTTTATTCTGTCGGGTCACGGATAAGCACAACCAGACGAATGCTGAAAACACAGAAAAAAACACTCCTGAAAGATATGGGTGTTCGTGCAGAACTGACACAGTGTATGTAATTTATATAGACTCTGTACAAATTTTATCTGGTACAAGGCCATGATATTGGAGCACTTTGCAAGGATCCCTAGCAGAAATAACTTGTTAAAATCTTAGATTATGAGAGAGTCTTTCGTATGACCACATCACACAAATATGATGCAAGATCAAGTTTTATGTGAGTTTTTAGGATACTAATTTTAGTGTAAAAAATGGTAACTAATTTGTTCAGTAATTTTTCTCATCAGAATCCGTTTTGCACATTTATAAATTTACCATTTATCTAGCCATTGACTATTGCTGCCATATCTGGTCTTGTGTTCTGGATGTATATCTCAAGATTCTTGACATAATTCAAAGAATGATCTCTAATGTAATTGGTCATGATCTGACATCTCAACTTCAGTTACTTTCCTATGTGGCTTCCCTCTGCCTTTTCTACAAATATTTTAATGGCAATTGTTCTCTCCTCATTAACGCTACGACTGCATAAATTTAAGTGTACTACTAGATTGACTACTAGGTCTCAACGTTTTAATCTTGAACTAGCTAGATGTAGCTATAAGTTCTTGTAGAGCAAAGACAGAAATAAACACCAAGACAGTCAAACACCAAATGACAAAAAATGTTTTTTAAAATGACTCCTGTTCTCTTCAAACTTTACAATAAATGCCTCACTGCTTCTTGCTTTCCAACATGTTGGAAATCCTCCTCTGTAGTTCCAGTCTTTAAGAACTCTGAGGGACCTTCTGACCCCTCAAATTATCTTCCTATCAGTCTTTTACCTCTTTTTGACAAAGTACGAAAGGCTTTAATCAATGCCGAATTGGTTAAGCCCCTCACTTCACATGGCCTCCTTTAGGATAAACAATATGGTTTCTGTTTTTCTTGTCAGAATTTATTTTGCACATTTATAAATTTACCATTCATTCAGGGATTGAATATTGTACTATATATCTCAATATTCTTAACAAAATCCAAATAAGGATCTCTATTGTTATTAGTCTTGACCTGGCATCTTGGCTTCAGTCACTTCCCACTGCTGTGATGTAGCTTCCCTCTGTCTTTTCTATAAATATTTTCATAGTAGCTATTCTAATGAGCTGCCCTTCCTTGTTGTTTCCTGTTCCTGGGTATGACGATAAACTACATCCACATCCTGGGCAAGACGATAAACTACATCCAACAGCAAGACCTCTGATCAGAAGGTTTTGAGGAGCGTGGAACCACCTCTTAATTGCTGATGTTCTGAGGTCCACCCTGACTCGGGGTGGTAGTACCTGTTAGGGTCCCAGCTATCGGCAAATGGTCAAAACACTATGAAAGTGAAAAAATAGGTTTTAATACCAACAGTACATTTTTGAAAAAGAATATTACCAGCAATAAAAATCTTAATGGCATTATCACCTTGTTTGGGATTGTTTTGATTAAAAAAAATTTGGGCTACTAAATCAGAAGGTGAAGCCAAACTAGTAATTAAATAGTATTTTGTCTATATTTCCCACTTTCCACTTGTAATTGCTGACTAATATCTTTTTTTTTTGTCTCTCTCCAGTACTGAATGCCCGCCTTAGCCAACTGAAGGGCTCCAGTGATGAATTTCATGTCTTGTGGACTGCTCATCATGAAGGCAGGTTTGAAGATCGCTGGACACAGAGTGGCGGTGGGGGTTTCTTTGAACGTCCCAATATCATTGAGAGGTTCTCAGAAGTTGTTCCACCCAATGACATGACCCCAGCATTTGTAGAGAAGCTAATGGCTACTCAGGTTAGAGTGTCTGACCTAATCAAGGATAATCAGCAATTATGGTTGGATGATGTGAAATCCTTTTCAAAACAGATGAAACAAGCCAGCACCAAGGAAAAAGTGAACGTGTCTCTGGATAAGCCGTTAGAATCTTCGTTTGCCAAAAGTGATCTTGAACAAAAGGAACCAGAGTCCAGTCAGACAACTTCGGTACCAGCTCCTCATCTTTTACAGCACCAAAGAAAAAAGGAAGCATCTCCTCCGCCTCAAATGGATAAGGAAGCTGAAATCAAGCCTGAGAAGAAAACGAATACCAAGCCTGAGACAGGGGTCAAAAGAATCAAAGAGGTTGGTCTTGTCTCAGAACTGAACACAACTTACCAGGCTAACCAAGATGCACCTAGTGATGCAACATCTTTCTATGTCGATGACAGCAACAAGGTGAAGCCGACATCCATTCTGAAAGGAACTGCCAAAGCTCCATATAAGAAACCAGTTTCTTGTGCAAAAGGACAAGATGTCCAAAAAACTAAACGTGATACTGTGAAGTTGAATACTTTTTTCAACAACGATCTTGAGGCCTACATCAATGCATGTATTTTCACAGGAATGGTAAGTTTGGAGAAGTCATTTTGTTCTTAAGAGTAATTTCTATCTGAATTCCTGGGTATGAACAGTTATATTACAATATTTCTTGTTCCTTTGTTCCTCCTGATATGCATCGGTCTTGCACACGTGCATACCTCAGACAGCCAGATAATCACCTTATGGCAGTGAAAACTCTGAAGACAGTCTTGTTCTTCATGTTCTTTGAAAATTAAAAGACTGAAGCTAGAAAAGGAAATAAGTCAAACATTAGTTTAGTCCAAACATCAAAATAAATGAAAAGGAATGAAAAAATATGACAGAGTTAGCCAAAGGTCAAATATTTAAAGGTCTATATTTAATATGACAGAGGTAGCCAAATGTCAAATATTTATGGTCTATATTTAATGTGACAGAGTTAGCCAAAGGTCAAATATCTAAAGGTCTATATTTAATATGACAGATAGCCAAAGGTCTATATTTAAAATGACAGAGTTAACCAAAGGTCAAATATTTAAAGGTCTGTATTTGATATGACAGTCAACCAAAGGTCAAATATTTAATATGAGAGAAGTAGCCAAAGGCCAAATATTTAATATGACAGAGTTAGCCAAAGGTCAAATATTTAAAGGTCTGTATTTGATATGACAGTTAACCAAAGGTCAAATATTTAAAGGTCTGTATTTAATATGACAGAAGTAGCCAAAGGTCAAATATTGCAGTGAGACCATAGGTCTTAATGGATAAAGGAAGTAGTAAGTAGTTTGCTTACAGGAATGTATTATAAAATTTGTAATAAATCTACAGAAAGAAAGAATGTCACATGAAATTAAAGTACAAAAGTATGAGAACAGTCAACCCATGAAAGGGCTTCGACATGCTGAAGTACAGCAATAAAAAAATAAATCTATATAAAATGGCTACCTTAAATAAACGTCCAAATAATAATACAATATTAAAGTAGACCAGTGCTTAAAGAAAAAGATAGACATGTTGTGTATTGGCAGTGTTATTCTTGGGGGTAGATTTAGGAGACTAAAAAAAGGAAGAACCACGTGCTTTGATAGTGCCAGTTCCACACAGTTTCGGATCCTAATGTTTAAGTAATAAAATCTGTCGGATTAATAAATAAAAAAAATCATCACTTCAGAAATTACTTTATTTACATTAAGATTAAAAACTGAGCAGATAGTTTTTGAGAGTCTGAGAAAGATTTGTGTTTATAAGGCACTATTCAACTTTGCTTGATCAATGACGCACTGTGGCCAAGTCAGTCTAAAGAACATTGAATCTAAGAACAGTTTCCCCTAGCAAGGAGGATGTAGGTTCTAATTCTGCTGCAGTGTGTGTGTTTTTTTTTTTTCTTTTTTTTTTTCTTTTTTTTCTCCTCCCCGTGACCCATAGGGGAAGCATGTATCCTGCAGCCACAGTACAAGTGCTGTTTCTTGAGCAAGACAGCTTGACGGAGCCCAACCCTTTCCAGGCTGGTTTTGAATTCAGTGTTTTCCTTCTCCTAGACCGGTTGCCATCCAAGGCTATAGAACCCAGTCTGTCCTGCTATTTACCCATAGCTGGAGGGAGAAGAAGAAGATGCATACCTTTCCCAAGGGTATTAGCACATAAATGAATGTAATCGATCAGACTCCAATTTCTCAATCCAAGCCACTATCCATTACTCCACCATGCCTCCTTTACTCAGATTTCTTGAATATTCAGGCCGGTTGATGAAAATAAAAAATATACTCTTTAAAAATATAAACGAAGTGTCTAAATAAAAATCCATCACTTAGATACTTAATTCAGGAGTTATGGATTCTTAAAATTTGATCTTTTATTTTGATCAGTTTTTTAGCTGATTTCAAAATTTGGTACTTCATAACTTTGCATTCTAAGAAGATACCAAGTTGATCTCTGGTAGTCTTAGAGTCTAAAGCATGAAGAAAACACACGTTTTTATTTTATCTTTATTTTCTAAGAGTTCTATAGTTATAGGCTGCCAAAAGTGGGAACAATTGCAATTTTACGTTTTGTTTTGTTGTTTTTTGTGTGTGTGTGTTGCCACCTGTAGAAGCTATACTATTAGCAATGAGAATGAAACCTAAAGGTGATTATAATCACCTGATGACTTATAATTATAAAGATGGTGACTTTCACCTGATGACTTATAGTTACAGATGATTATAATCACCTGATGACTTTGTGAAAAACGATGAAATATTTGTTTTACAAGAGTGTAAAAGAATAAGAAAAAAAGAAAAACATTAAAGAACAATAGAAGAGTAATCAGGAAGACAGTAGATAGCGATTGACATTGCATTTAAATTTTTGAAGATCAAAGATGACTGGAAAGCAAGAAGTCGGAAGAGAGTTCCACAAGCGAAAATTGAGTGAGAACAATAGAAGAGTAATCAGGAAGACAGTAGATAACGATTGACATTGCACTTAAGTTCTTGAAGATGAAAATTGACTGGAAAGCAAGAAGCCTGAAGAGAGTTCCACAAGCGAGAAGTGTGAAAAAAGAAACTGTTGGCATAGGACTTATGGTTACATCTAGCCAGCTCAACTATAAATTGATGAGACCTTGCCAAAAATCTAGTACTGCACTTAAATTCATAAAGTCAAGGTACCATAGCGAAGTGCTCATCTGAACAATTATCATGAAAGTATTTATAAAAAAGGCACAGGGAAGCTACATTATGGTGGTGGGAAAGAGACTGAAACCAAAATGCCAGGTCAGTACCAATAATATTGCTGATTCTTTAGATTTTATCAAGAACTTCGAGATATACAGCAGGGGTACTGGACCATATGTGGTGGCAATATTCGAGACATAGACAAATGGTAGACTTATAAATATGTAAGATAGATTCAGTAGAGAAAAATTGCCTACCGCAAAACCATGAACCGACTTTCTTAGCAGTAGACCTAACAATGGATTCAATATAATCTTTCAAATTTATATTAGCTGAAAATGTAAACCTGGCAGGGATCAATAAGTCACTCTCATGAAGGTTAGTATCAGCTATGCTGATGGGATTGTTAGGATTTTTCAGGTGAGTTACATGTTTCCTAGCTGACAAAAATTTACCACCTACTTTGAAAAAAATTTTAGGCCTTTTCGCAAGCTTGGCAAGTAATGTATAAAGTTAAATTTAGAATTTATATTTGGCTTAATTATAGACATATCTCTTATCTTTTACTGTATATACAGTTGCAGCCAAAATAATAAATCACTAAATCATCCTTAACTTTTGTATTATCCTCTCAAATTACACCAAAATCTCAGACAATAACAATTAATATTGTATTTATTGTCTGTGAAAATTATAGAATATAAAACAACTTTGATAAAAACTTATATCTACTTTTCTGACAAAAACAATGCCGTTCTGAACATTTTGGCCGCAACTGTACTCTCAGATAAGATACAATTTTTTTACCAAAAATTTCACAAAATGTTACTGGTGTGACCTATCCGCTCGACATAAACAACCTTGTCATCATGATTTCTGAGAAATCAGAAATGACCCCCATAAACACTAAAGCTTTGATTTTTTCTGTATAGAAATAATTTATCTATCATATATACTGACTCACTGCTTTAAACTTACCTCATGCTGCTAGATTTATATATCCATCACAATAAATAAATAAAATTATAAAATATTCATTGATCCATCAGTCACCGTTTGGGGTCCTCGCACTTGACTGATATAGAAACCCTGAACATGGATATATAAGGAACCATGTGTAGATGTTTATTGACAAAAAAAATAGTCCTATGATTCATTCTGCAAATATATATATATATATATATATATATATATATTTTGTCAAAAATATGTTGGAAAATATGACTTAAAGAAATGAAATATATTCTTTGAGATAATTTTCTTTAATGGTTGTTTCATATAACATTAAAAGCTGTTCTTAAGTGTTATTTACAAATAACAAAGTGCATGAATCTAGTACCCTAAACATTTGCACTATTTAGTATTGTACAGCAATATATTTGGTAGCCAAATTTATAGTCTGTCTATATTTCTGAGATGAGGTATTATGTACAGTATTTACATTAGTTGGACTATTGTCCTCATCTTTGTCGCCATATTTATCACAACGTTTCGGCCGTTGTACACTCCGGCCTTCTTGGAAGTTGGAATTTCGAACTGAACCCTTTATTTCCCTCACTGGGGTAGACTGTTCTAGTTCCATGTGCCATGTTTAATGGATGTCAGTTATCAGTTATCTCCTGAAAGTTCTCCACTGCCTTAACCAGGTATTGAACTCACCTTCTTTGGATCTAACCAACGCCTTTATCCACTGTGCCATGTGTCCTTGAGGACATCTGGGTATGAACTTCTGAGTATTATAAACCTAATGTTTCCAGCATCATTTTTACCAGTGCTCATATTGCAATTTTGCTGTTATCATTACATGTCTTTACCAGAGTTCATATTGCAACTTTGTTATCATTGCTTTTCTCTGGCACTCCTTATTACTGGTTCCCATATTGTATTTATTTCTATGCTTGGTGGCTCAGGAGATTTTTGTGGCCTAGCATATGTGCTGATTCCTTAAGTTTCGGATTTTCCAATGGTGTTCCCTGTCTGATCTCAACATGATCCCACAGGGGCGGTGATCTCCCTTCTCTCTCCATATGTGGTCAGCTCGCCTGATTTTTTCTACTTCCCCGTGTTACAGCTTTCTGGTGTTCTTGAAGCCTTACCTTGAGGGGCGGCCTGTCTCTCCTTTATATTCCTTTCTGCAGCTGGGATAAGCGTACACACAGTCTTTAGTCATGTTCCTCTCTGTGGGGGTCTCACTCATGAGAGATATCTGCGAAAGTGTTGTCACGCTTTTGAAGATTGTCCTGATGTTATATGGACCGCAGATCCTTTGTATTTTCTCTGATAACCCTTTCACATTTCAGAGGGAAAATTAGCAGGAGATAACTGATAACTGACATCCATCAAACATGGCATGTGGAACTAGAACAGTCTACCCCAGTGATCGAAATAAAGGGTTCAGTTCGAAATTCCAACCACCAGAAGAAGGCCGGAGTGTACAACGGCCGAAACGTTGTGACAAATATGGCGACAAAGATGAGGACCTGCGAGTATATACAGTACTCATGAAAATAAAACCTTAATCAGTGCTAACTTTTTGTACATATTGAAAATGATAGACCTAGAGAAAGAATTCAAACATATTTTGATCCTTAGAATCTACAGTACTGTGGTGAACGCCCGTCAGTAAAAACGCAAAAGAGACCCTGAGTCATGTGCAGACATATCGGTCAAAACTAGTTACATCTGAGTTTCCTCTGTTAGCATCTGCACCGCTTGGCATATCCAGATACAGGCCTCTCTGCAATTTGTTCAGATCCAGGTCTTTGTTAACTGTCTCATGTCAGTAAAAGCAATGGGAAAACCAACAGTTGGCAAGACTCAATATCTTGTAAAGATGTTTCTTTGAGCATTTCATTCCAGAAATTGTGTGTGCTGTGGTTTCTGAAGCAGTGTTATCTTGTTTTCTCCTTTCTCTGCCGGTTATCTTAAAAATCTTGTCTGCATTAAATAACCCATTGAGGTGTTGATATGCCATAAAACAAGCCATTTCAGTCAAAAAAACTATTTTATTGATAAATATCATTGTTATCAATATCTGTCTATATTTCTGAGATGAGGTATTGTAACTATTTACACTATTTACATTGTTTGGACTGTTGTCCTCCTCTTTATTGCCATATTCACGATACATGGTCCAGTGGATAAAAGCATTGGTTGATTGATCCAAAAAGTGACTTGACCCAAAGTGTTGTGTGTTCAATCCCTGGCCACAGCAGAGAGAACAAGAACTTGTAGAATTGACTTATCAAGGAGAATTAACTAAAACAGAGATATCCAAATATGGCATGTGAAATTAGAACAATCAACCCCCGTAGACTAAATGAAGTGTGCAGTTCGAAATTCCAACAAATATTACCTGAAGAAGGCTGTAGCGCACAATGGACGAAACATGAATATGGCAGTAGAGATGAGAGCAAGAGTCCAAATATTGGCAACCACAAACTTAACGTAATAAGGTATGCAGATGACACAGAAAGGAAATTACAAAAGCTCCTACAGAAAGTAACGAAGGAAAGAAAGAAGAAAGGACTAAGTATAAACTACAAGAAGACAGAATGCATGGTTATCAGCAAAAGGGTGAGCCCAAAATGCAAATTATAAATCAGGGATACTAAAATCAAACTAGTACAGAGATTTAAATATCTGAGAAGTGTTCTAACAGAGGACAGAAAGTACCACACTGACATCCGAAGCTGTATTGGGATGGCCAATGATGCATTCCAAAAGTTAAGCAGAGTATTAAGAGACAGGAAAATTTCATTAGAAACAAATAAAAAAAAGTACTGAACTGTTAAATAATATCTGTCCTCCTGCATGGTAGCAAATGCTAGACAATCGCCTCAAAGACAAAGAAGAAACTTCAAGCAACAGAAATATGGTTCATAGAAAGATGCTGAGGATACCATAGACCAAAGATGTGAGCAACAACGAGGTTTTGGAAAAAAATAGAAACAAAAAGGAAACCTATACTTAACATCAGGAAGAGGCAGTTGAAATTTCTTGCTTACATAATGAGGAAGGAAGGCTTGGAAAATCTGACACTCACAGAACAAATTGAGGGAAAGAGAGACAGAGGAAAGCAGCACATAAGATACTGGAGGATGATAAAACAGGGTTTGGGAGAAATAACAAAAAGACAGAACTTATTAAGAACTACAAGGGACAGGAAGATGTGGAGGACCATGATCGCATACATCCTGAAGAGACATGGCAAAATTTGGAGTAAGCTATTCTCTGTCCTCTGTTTTATAAAACAAAAGTTTCAATTTTTTATTTCTACAATAGGATTTTTTTTTTTTTGTTTCATTCCTGCTACATTTACATATTTGAATATTGCTGCCATGTCTGGTCTGGTGTTCTTGCTACTCATCTCAAGGTTCTTGATAAAATCTAAAAAAGGATCTGTTATGTAATCAATCCTGTCTTGGCATCTCAACTTCAGTCACTTTCTCACTTATGGGATATAACGTTCCTCTGTCTTTTCTACAAATATTTCCATAGCAACTGCTCTGACAGGGTTTTTTACTTGGTGCCTTAACTGCATAAATTTAAGTGTGCCATTAGATTGGCATCTAGATTCCCACCCATTTACTATTGGAATAGCTAAATGCAACTGCTACTACTACTCCAACAGTTTCTTTACTCACACTTTTTGACAACAGAACTCTCTTCTCTTTATTTGCTTCCCTGATAACTACAATCTTCAAAAATTTAAATGCAACATCAATTGTCATCTTGGATCCTGTTCATCTTTTGTACTTTCCTCAATCCTCCCTATACTCAGTCTTTTCTCTCACTTTCACTCCCTGTAACCCCATGTATTTGTGGAATTCCTGCCTTGCTTGGAGTGAAATGATTAAAAAAAAAGAAAAAGAAATTCCATATTTGGAATTTACATGGCTCACTCTTAGAACCGACAATCCACTTTTTGGAAATGTAATGATTTCTTTTCTTTTCTTTTTTTTTATCTATTTTGCAAATTTCTTGTATTTCTTTTACTAAATTGCAAAACTGAATTTCTATTTAGCCTAACTGTTTTGACTGTCATACTGTTGCAGATTGACAAAGCGATGTCAACCCTGAAATTTTACTCGTATATCTACCTGCAGTCACCAGGAGATCCGATTTACCGTGTCAATAACATCAGCATCTATAGTTCCTTGATGCATGCAGCTGCGAAGAAAGTAAGTTTCCAGAATCTGATCCTTCTTTTCTATAGTATTATCTGTTAGGAATTTATGTTAGAAAGTTCTGGATTTTTTTTTCCTCTGTTGATGGATCAGTGAATGATTCTTCTGGAGCAGTTGACAAAATATTTTGATCACGTGACATTTTTTTTTTTTTTCCCTCCTTCTTTTCCAGGGCAAATTTGGTCCTTTACAAGTTTTATTCCAGCAGATTAGGAAGAATGGTCTGGCGCCTTCATTGCAATGTTATGCTGCATGTCTGGAGTGCCTTGCCCGACAAGATGTCATGGATATTGAACTAGGACAACATATTATATCTGATCTCCGAAGAGATGTGAGTCTTTCAAGAATTTGCTTTGTGGCAGATTGGGGTGGGGGTAGCTTGACAAAGTTTAACCTTTCTGCCCACCAAAAACAAAAAAAAAAAAAAACCCAGTGTGTGTTAGTTATTCCCTTGACACTACTATTACTGTAGGCACTTTTAATTCCCTCAGCAATGTCCATTTAGAACATTATAAAAATATGTGAACCAAGTATAATGCAATATTTATTCCCACGAGTCCTGTAACCTATTAGGATCTAAGGGCATCACATGTACTGCAGTCGTAGTAGGAGTGATGTGTCTTGGGCAGGGTTCAACCCCCTCCAGGCTAGTTTTGAATTCAGAGTTTTCCTTCTCCTACACTGGTTGTCAACCAAGGCTATAGGACCTAGTCTGTCCTGCTATTTAACCCATAGCTGGAGGGAGAAGAGATGGATTCATACCTTTCCCAATGTAAGCAAATGTAATGAAATTCTACTGGAATTTGAACTCTGTTCGACCTAAAGATTCAAAATTTATTCAAAATTTTATTAAAAAAATTACAAAATTATCAAAATATGCAAACCAAGTAGTAATGCGATATTTATTTTGAAAAAGTTTTAAATCATTGCTAATTTTATTTTTCGTTGCTAATTTTATTTTCCATTGTTAATTTTTTGTTGTTGCTAATTTCAAAATAAAAATATGCTCAAAAAATCTGCCAACAACTTAAATAAGCAATTTAATAAACAGTGTTTAATATGCTGTTGCATGATGGTAGCACCTTTTAGGGTCCCAGCTATGGTCAAATAGCAAACCCAAATTTAGGCGGGGGAGAGTTTAAAACATTTTAAAAATATAAAAAGGTATTTTTATAGTAAAAATATTAGCAGCAATACATTTTTAAAAAAAATGGATTACTAAAGCTCCCAAGAAAATTAAATTTCGACATTAAATGATCCATATGCCATTAAACAAACCAAACCAAAATATGTTGTTGATGTCATTAAAAAAAACATTTCCTGCAGTGGCAGCTTTTTCTGAATGCCCCCCCCCCCAAAAAAAATGGTGTAACATCTCTGGTAGATTTGTGCTTGATCCCAACTTTAAACATAAACATTGCAGAGTTTAGGCTCAACCAATCAACAGCTGTGCCACTAATTGCAGAGGTATTTGTGGGGTGGCCTTAGAAGTGGTTGCCTCCTTCTGATACCTAGGTGACTCTTTGGCGATGGATATGAGCTGGCGACAATCAGACTTTGCCAGATTGCATGGAAGAAAATTTCTCCAATTGCTGTCTATCCTCACTGCCCACTGCCACCCGGCTAAGACCAGAGATCATGTATATAACACCTGCATTCACAGCACCATGCTGCACGTCAGTAAGGTGTGGGCCCTGGGTAAGACGATAAACTGCTTCCGCGTCCCGGGTAAGACGATAAACTGCTTCCGCGTCCCGGGTAAGACGATAAACTGCTTCCGCGTCCCGGGTAAGACGATAAACTGCTTCCGCGTCCCGGGTAAGACGATAAACTACATCCAACAGCAAGTCCTCTGATATGGAGGTTTTGAGGAGCATGGAACCACCTCTTAATTGCTGATGTTCCTAGGTCCACCCTGACCTGGGGTGGTAGCACCTGTCAGGGCCCAGAGCAAATAGTTTAACTTCAAACTGGGGTCAAAACACCACAAAAGTGTAAAAATAGGTTTTAATACCAGCAATACATTTTTGTAAAAAATTTATTACTACCAATAAATTTTTGAAGAAAAAAAAATTATTACCAGCAATAGATTTTTGAAAAAAATATAATAACCAGCAATTTAATGTCAGCATTAAATAATCCATTGAGGGTGATATGTCATAAGACAAACCAAACCAGATGTGGGCCCTGTTGACAGTTGAATGACAGGGTGAGGATATGCTGGATGTGTAGAGGGTCCATTGAGAATGAAATCCGGTCAGACTCGCTTCTCAAGAAGCTAGGCATTGACAACATTGAGTCACTACTGCACAGCCGCAGACTATGCTGGACTGGCCGTATTGAGTGCAGTGACAGGCCTCAGGTCTGTGAGATGATTGACTGTAGCAGAGGAAGGGGTACAGATCTAGATGACTCAGGAGGATGTTTTTCAGAAAGACAAAAAAAATTTGGGCCTAGAACTAACTGATGCTCATGTCAGTCGTACGTGGAGAGGGAGTCAAAAGTGTATACAGTAATAGTGATATCAAGAGAATAACTGTCCTTTTGACATGAAGTTTTTTTGGGGGGGGGGGTTGCAAGCATCAGGGTTAAATATTACTAAAAAAAAAATTTTCACACACCTTTTTTTTTTTTTTTACAAGCATGATGGTCAAATATTGCCAAAATTCTTTTATTTTATAATCGTGTAAATAAAGATTTCTGAGGGAGTCAAAAGTGTATACACTAACAGTGATACCAAGGGAATATCTGTCCTTTTGATACAGTGTTTTTTTTTTTGTGGGCACAAAGGTTAAACATTGCCAAAGATATTTTGTTTTTCTCAATCAGTTTTCTATCCTCTTTGTGAAAGGAAATGACCCATATATTTGTATGCAAATATCCAAAATTGGGGAGAAACTGACCCCTATCCACCACATGTATCGCTTCCCCTCTGCCTCTGAGCATAAAAATTGGGAAAGGTTTGCTGCATATTCGTAAGGGAACCAAGTGAAAATAAACGCCACAAGAAATACTGACACAAGTTTTGTTTTTAACAATTTGGTTATTTATTTACCTAGCATTCTCTCTAAGAGCACATAGGTGCCATTGCCTCTCCTTACATCTGCCATGTAACTGCTACTGACAGGATTGATTGAATGGATGGCTCCTCTCTCTGTCAGACTCTAACCAAGACTCTATTCATATAAGGCTGCAGGCGGAAACATCTAACTTCTGACCAAGTGTCACTTGATCCCACAAGTTTCATTTATTATTTTACTTGGTTAAGTGGGTTACCGTTTTGAATGACAGATATCAAAGACTTTACTGTTGGCTATAAAAACCCCTGACACTTCAGACTCTGATAATTTCATTTAGGACTTACTTTGTGCATGCTCAGTACTTATCATGCCACATGTTAAGAGTTTGATATTGATGTGGGACATTCATGTCACAGGTGGTAATCAAAAGCATGTTTGACCCCAGAGTCCTGGATATGACAATAAACTACACCAGGCAGTAATGCCTCTGATTGGAGATTGGAGATTTTCAGGAGCGTGGACCCACCTCTTGCTGTTGTTCCCAGGTCCACCCTGACCTGGGTGGTAGCACTGGTTAGGGTCCCAGCTATGGGAAAATAGTGAACCTCCAAACAAAATCAAAACACTATGAAAGTATAAAAATACATATTTAGAGTAAAATTACCAACAATATATTTTATCTTTAATTAAAGGCATACAATTGCATTCAAAATATATTCAGTTTAAGCCATAGAATCATGTTCAAAATATTTAGATTTCAGCATTAAATAATCTATGGAGGTTGATATGCTGCTAAACAAAACCAACCAACATGAAAGAACTCTTTCATGACATTAATCCATATAATATCCAACAATTTCTTTAAGAAATCAAATGATATTCCAAAATATAACTTCAGCAAAACTACAACATAAAACACACAATATCTGTCAAAATCTCTGAGACGAGGTATTATGATTATTTACATTATTCAGACTGTTATCCTCATCTTCATTGCCATATTCATGTTTCGGTCATTGTACACTCTGGCCTTCATCAGGTGATTGGAATTTCGAACCAAACCCTTTATTTCATCACTAGAATATGAAGACTTAAAGAATCAGTACATATGCTTGGCCACAAAAATCTTCTAAGTCAACGAAGCATACAATATGGGAACAAGTAATAAGGAGTGCTAGAGAAAAGCAATAAATAATAACACAAAAAATGCAGTATAAGCTCTGGTAAGAAATATGCAATAATAATAACAGAAAAATTGCAATATGAGCACTGATAAAAAAAAAAAAAACGGTTGCTGAGACATTAGGTTTATAAGACCCAAAAATTCATACACAGATGGACATTCAAGGAGACATGGCCTAGGGGATAAAGACGTTGGTTAGATCCAGTGACTCGACCCAAAGGTTTGTGAGTTCAGTTGAGTTAAAGGGAAATAACTGAGGCAACCAGAAGAAGACGATATGGCTGAAATAAAGTGTTTGGTTCAAAATTCAAATCACCTGAAGAAAGCTGGAGTGTACAATATTCGAAATGTTGTGAATATGGCAATTAACAGTATATAAGTATGTAGTATATAACAGTTTGAATAATGTAAATAATAGCACACGCATATCACTGCCTCTACTAATTATGTTCACACGCATATCACTGCCTCTACTAATTATGTTCACACAAACATGTTTACGAACAAAAGCTGAGTATCATCTACCATGTACTCAATTGTGAAAGCATAATCATATTTTTATTACTTCAAAACTCCCAAGAAAATTAAATTTTGCCTGCAAATGACCCATGAGGAGTTGATATGTTGTTAAACAAACAAATCAACATTTCAATAGATTGTACACATTTAAACACACACTCATATATATATATATATATATATATATATATATATATATATATGGTAAATATATAAACTTCTCAAACACAGTTGCAGAGCAATTGAGAAGCTTCATCAATGATGTTTATTTCTGGTGTTATTGAGGGTTTCAGGCTTTGAAACCCTTTCTCCCCAGTGACCTAACCAGGAGTGATCCCCTCCCAGCCAACTTTCCAACATCTGTTACATGACCCCACAAAATTTTATCCAAGCTCTCATTGGTTTAATTCTATGTAAAGCAATTTAGGGAACTTATTTTACACCATTTCACCGCTGAAATAATGTCATCAGAAATATATATATATACATATTTATTTCTTTGCAGGGTTTCAGGGAAGAAGACATCTTCAATGCCTGTATTTTCAGAAGGGATGAGAGACAATATGTCTTAAAGGTGAATCATTTCATTTCCTATCACTTGTTGATAACTTTGCAGTCAAATGCAATGACGCATGGCATGGGACTCTGTAGCATGGGTATTAGTTGGAGAAGATTATTTATAGAAAATAACAAGAATAGGTTTAAAAAAATAGATTAATTTCTTTTCCAAAAAACCACATTCAGAATCAGAACCTTGGAGATGAAATTAAAGATTGAAAATCCTTGTTTGGCACTACATGACCATTATATAGAAGTCAATGTGCCATAAAACCACATTCAAAATCAGAACCTTGGAGATGGGATTAAAGACTATGAGAATCTATTTGAAAATCCTTCTTTGGAAATTACGACTATTATGTAGAAGTCAATGTACCATAAAAAGACATTTGGAATCAGAACCATGAAAATAGGATTAAAAACAATGAGAATTTACTTTAAAATCCTTAACTAGCACTACATGACCATTATATAAGAGTCATTGTGCCATAAAACCACATTCAAAATCAACATTGCAGATGAGATTAAAGCAGTGTTTTCCAACCTTTTTTCATAATGGACTAAATTAGAAATTTATGTATATTCAGCAGGCCACAAATGTACTTTATACAAATATGCTTTTAAAAAGTTCAAAACGTTGTGAATATCTATAGTGAAAGAGATAATCACCTACCTCAAAAAAGAGTTTGTGTTTTATGTGCGATCTGCCAAATAAAAATTACCGAAAGTAGTTAGCAAAAATCTACTACTTTAAGTATCAGAATCTATGCTAATATTCCTCCCTCCCCTGAATGACATGGCCAATCAGAAAAATCACTAAGTGAATAAAAGCCGTTGTTTTTTTTACTTATGACGGAGGTTTTTTTTTTTTTCTGAGCTTGGTGGACGAACATGTGTTTTTGCTGGAGAGAAGTGAGGGTTGGATTTGTGAACCCCATTTTGTCGTTTCTATGTTGCCCATTGGACTGTTACAACAGAATATCATTTGAACTGTGATTTGTCTACAAGTGTTGTGGACGAGAAACAGAAGAAACCTATTGCAGGCGTTTATTGCTACTATAAGTTTGTTTTTTTTCGTCTTTTCTTACAACAACAATATCAAATTTTAATGATGATAATTACAAAGATCCTGTAATATTGACAGTAAAAAAAATTATATATACACAAAATAAAACAAATTCAATGTGATCTTTGACATTGCTTTCCTTTTATAATAGTGTCAGTATCTGCTTTTATGTTACTAGTATTTATTCTAAGAATGTTAGTTAAATGTGAATCCCTCAACCTATTTCAGCAGTTTTGATGTTTTTCATGTAAGAAAAGAATTGTTCACAGCAGTATGTACTAAACCCCCCCCCCCCCCTCACATTCATAACAGTTTTCGAGATAAGCTAAATAATGTGTTTACACTTTTGGGATTTATTGCTGTAGGCTGATGTTGTTTTCCTTATTTTTCATATTTTTATGTAATTTGGTTTTTAATTTCCCATATATGTTTAGAAAGAATTGTGCTATTCATGGATTTACTATATAGGAGTCAATATGCCATAAAAGACATCTGGAAACAGAACCATGGAAATAGGATAAAAAAAAAACAATGAGAATTTACTTTAAAATCCTTATCTAGCACTACATAGCCATTATATAGGAATCATTATGCTATAAAGTCATATTCAAAATTAAAACCTTCGAGATGTGATTAAAGACTTGAAAATTAAAGCAGGATTGCCCAATCTTTTATACTAATGGGCCTAATTAGAAATTTAGGTATATTCACCAGGCCACAAAATTACTTTATATAAATATGCTTTTTAAAAGTTTAAAATGTTGTGAATATAAAATTTTAATAACAAATATATATAATTACAAAAAATCATGTATTATTGACAGTAAAAAAAAGAAAAAAGAAATTATACATACACAAAATAAATTCAATGTGATTTTTGACATTGCTTTCCTTTTATAATACTTGTCAATATCTGCTTTTATGGTACGAGTCTTTATTCTAAGAATGTTAGTTAAATGCGAATCCTTCAACCTATTTCTTTCAGTAGTTTTGATATTTTTCATGTAAGAAAAAAATTGTTCACAGCAGTATATACTACCTCACATGCATAACAGTTTTCTAGATGAATTGACAATTCCATCAAATTCATTGAAAGAATAAATTTCTTTATAAAATTCAAGAAGGGAATGTTCTCTATAAGTTTTCAAAGATTCCCTGCTTTGAAGCTCAGTGAGTTCTTGCTGGTGTTTGGTTGGTACTTACGTATAATTAAATGAAAATGAATCACTAAACAATTTTCAGTTTCTATTTTTCCGATGTCATAAAATCTGGTTGTAAAATCTTTTAAAAAAGGTTGAAACTTTTTAGCAAAACGTATTATTCGCTCAAACACTGAGCAATACAAGTAGTCTTTTCCTTATGAATGCAAATTAAGTTTAGAAACATTTCAGTGAAATCTACTAAGACGGAAAGATCATTCAAGCATTCTTCATTTTCTAAAAAAAAAAAAAATCTACATCTTGCTTCTTGCTTTGCCTGAACTCTTTTATTTCAGGTAACAATAATTGAAATCTTTTCAAAGTTGTTGCTTTACTGAGCCATCTGACTTTTGAGAAATAAATAATGTCTTCATACTGCCAACTTCTTCCAAGTATTTTTTGAACTCACAATGGTTCAAGCCCTGAGACCTAATAAAATTCACAGCTTTCCTGTCATCAACTGATTGATATTTAACTTTTGAGCACAACGACAACACAGTTTAGTCTGCTTGCTTCTTTGCTGGCAGAAGTGAGACTTTTGCTTTTTATTCACACACACAACATTATGGCCAACATGATACTTCCACATCTAAACAATGGCTTCTGTTTCCTTAGTTTCCAGTAACAACATATATAAATGGTGTTTAATGGTTTGGTTTGTTTTACGGCATCTCAACCTCAATGGGTTATTTAATGCCGACAAGATTTTTATTGCTGGTAATATTTTTATCTATCTCATTATATATTGGTTTGTTTTGTTTTGTTTTATGGCATATCAATCTCAATGGGTTATTTAATGCCGACAAGATTTTTATTGCTGGTAATTTTTTTTTTTTTTTCAAAAAAGTATTGCTGGTAATATTTTTTTTTTTTTTCAAAAAAGTATTGCTGGTAATATTTATTTTTTTTCAAAAAAGTATTGCTGGTATTTTTTTTTTTTTTTTTTTTTTTTTTTCAAAAAAGTATTGCTGGTATTTTTTTTTTTTCAAAAAAGTATTGCTGGTAATATTTTTTTCCCAAAAAGTATTGCTGGTAATAAAACCAATTTTTCCACTTTCATACTGTTTTGAGCCCAGTTTTCGGGTTAGCTATTTGCCCATAGCTGAGAACCTAACAAGTACTACCACTCCGGGTCATGGCAAATCTGAAAACAACAGCAATTAAGAGGTGGTCCCACGCACCTCAAAACCTCCTGATCAGAGGCCTTGCTGTCAGATGTAGTTTATCATCTTACCCAGGACAGTTTAATACTTTGTCTAATCTCAAGAACAAATAAAATGTATAAATCCAGTTTCATATTTTTGGGTCTTATTAAAATTCTTAAAAATAGCTTTTTAAGACAATGGAAATGATGAAAGGAGGAAACAGTAAAAGTCATGTCAGAAGAATAATTATCATTTTGACACCACTCTTTTTTTTTTTTCTTTCTTTTTTTTTTTTTTTTTTTTTTGTCTGTATGAATGTTAAATTAGTTGATAGTTAATTATGCTAATTGATTTATATTTATTGACCATTTCAGGCCCTGAAGACCCTTAACTCTAACTTTGAACCTCGACATCCAGAAAGTGAAACAGGTTACAGAGGACATCTGCTTGAAAAATTGAATTATCCTCTACCTCCAGATCAGGTTTGTCAATAATTTTTTCTTTGCCTTATTGCGTTTCTTGGTGTTGTGCTATCAATTGAAGCAGCTTATATCATTGAAAAGGATTCAAGTGTTGGCAAACTTGGACATTCATGCCTGCAAAAAACAGTATTAAAAAGGATGATTTTTCCATTGACACCACTACTGTTTTTTTAACTACCTTCACTCCTCAACAATGTTTATTTTTTTAAAAAGCAATTTGAATTGTAATAAAACCTAAACATATGAAAGTGAATTTATACATTTTCTTTGTTCTTGAGAATTGCAAACAAAATAATAAACAATATTAGATTGTTTATTTACACTATTTATTATACTGTTTATTGGAATGGTTGGTAAAACATTGAGTAATTGCCAATCAATTTGAACTTTATAAAATGGTAAGTAATAAGGATTTCCTTTTAAGGTTCAAAGATTTTAATAATTTGATAAATGTTTATAAATTTATGAATAAAGAAATTTTCATATTTATTTCTTTTATAAATTTGCAAATAATAAATATTGCATTGCAGTAGTTGGTTCACATTCCTAGAATGTTTTAAATAAAAATTTATTCTTGTAAATAAACAATTGAATAAATAAATAAATAGTGTTTAATATTTTTTTTTTTTTTGTAAATTCTCATAAACAAAAAAACTGTATAAATTCACTTTCATATGTTTGGGTTTTCTTAAAAAAAATTTTAATCATCACTTTTTAAAAACAAACATTGCCAAGTGAATGAAGGTAGTTAAAATGATAGTGGTGTCAAAGGAAAAATTGTCCTCTTGACACATCATTTTATTGCAGGTACAAAAGTTTAAGTTTGTGGGGGCAGTGGTTGGTACACGTGTACTAAAGTACCAAATTTTGTTGTTTGCCAGTCAAAATAAAGGGAATGAATTAAATGATCCTTCATAGCATATACTTATATATATGTATGTATGTATGTATGTATATCTGTGTGTGTATGTATGTATATATATCTGTGTGTGTATGTATGTATATATATCTGTGTGTGTATGTATGCATATATATGTATGTGTGTGTATATATGTATGCATGTGTGTGTATGTATGCATATATATGTATGTGTGTACATATATATATGTGTGTGTGTGTGTGTATGTATGCATATATGTGCGTGTGTATGTACGCATATATATGTATGTGTGTACATATATATGTGTGCGTGTATGTATGCATATATATGTATGTGTGTGTGCATATATGTGTGTGTGTACATATGTATGTGTGTACATATATATGTGTGTGTATGTATACATGTATATGTCTGTGTGCATATGTGTGTGTGTATGTATGCATATATATCTGTGTACATATATATGTGTGTGTGTATGCATATACATATATGTGTGTGTGTATGTATGCATATGTATGTGTGTATATATATGTGTGTTGTGTGTGTGTGTATGTATGCATATATCTGTGTGTATGTATGCATATATATATGTGTTGTGTGTGTGTATGTATGTATGCATATATATGTATGTGTGTACATATATGTGTGTATGTATGTATGCATATATATGTATGTGTGTACATATATGTGTGTTGTGTGTGTGTATGTATGCATATATATGTATGTGTGTACATATATGTGTGTTGTGTGTGTGTATGTATGCATATATATCTATGTGTGTACATATATGTGTGTGTTGTGTGTGTGTATGTATGCATATATATGTATGTGTGTACAGCTATATGTGTGTTGTGTATGTATGTATATAATATATAAATATATAACAATATATGTAAATTCACTTTCATCATATGTTTGGGCTTTATTACAATTCTAATTATCACTTTACAACAATAAAAATTGCCAAGGAGTGAAGGTAGTTAAAATAATATCAGTGTCAAATGAAAAAATGTCCTTCTGACACTATTTTTTTTTTTTTTTAGGCACTAAGGTTCAATTTTGCCCAAATGTAAAAACCTAAAAAGATAGTCTCTTTATTAGGAAATTGCAGAAAATGGAGTTTCAAAAACATTTTATTGTACAAATGACTATCAATTCATGAATCTGCAATGTTATCAGTCCTCACCTGGCATCTGCAATTATGATTATTGTTCAGTACACTACTGTATACATATTTAGGAATAAATTAGAAAACAGTGCAATGGTGACCTTAAACCAACCTTAAGCTAGTTGGTGGAGGCATGCAGAATATGAAGGAATCAGAGAGCTGAGTTTGAATTCCAGTTGAGTTCATTACATACACTTATATGTTAAGGCTCCTGGAAAAGGTATGAATCCAACCCTTCTCAACCCAGCTATGAGTATAAGTACTATAGCAGAACAGACTCGACCCTATAGCCTTGTTTGGCAACCAGTCTAGAAGGAGGAAAACTCTAAATTCAAACCACAGGCTTACTTGTATGTATTGCCGCTTTAACCTCTGAGAGGAGGTACAGGGTAACCTCAACATCTCCAGTGCAAAAGGAACTGGCAAGCTGTTGCACTATTCTGCCTTGAATGTCACTATGAACCACAATTGTGAGATGGAGGGGAGTGGTGGCCATATTGGCGGTGCAAAAATGCACTAATGAAATAAAATGAATGATGAATGAAAGAGGCTGATTGTCCATTATGCACATAGTATATCCGTAAATAGCGATCAGGTACAGTTTCTCATTTAATGGCAAGGTCATCAGAAAAAGAACAAAATAAAACTTTAGGGTTTTATATTCATGTAAATACAAGGTGGGTTGCTAGACAGAATTTGAGATTCTGATTTTTATTCCTTGCCGCTTCAGATGGTGGAAGCAAACCCGTACGTTGGTGTGGTAGACAATGAATGCCTTTTCCAGCAAATGGAAAAACAACAAAACAAGGAACAGCAGGACAATATAAAAATCAAATCAGTTGTAAAGGAGACGGTTGACAAACCACGAATAGTAAGTATTCAAGAGCATCACTAACCTAGGAGGGCCAGATATTATTATTATTTAAGTCCTAAATTATTTAAGTCCACTTGATGTTGTCTAAAAAGGCTAATCAACTCTTACTGGCCAATAGGGTTCAGTTTTGTTATTATTTAACTCGTAAACTGATCCCCCACTTGATGTTGTCTAAAAAGTCTAATCAACTCTTACTGGCCAATAGGGTTCAGTTTTGTTATTATCTAAGTCCTAAACTGATCCCCCACTTGATGTTTTCTAAAAAGTCTAATCAACTCTTACTGACAAAATAGGGTTCAGTTTTGTTATTATTTAACTCCTAAATTGATCCCCCACTTGATGTTGTCTAAAAAGTCTAATCAACTCTTACTGACCAATAGGGTTCAGTTTTGTTATTATTTAACTCCTAAATTAATCCCCCACTTGATGTTGTCTAAAAAGTCTAATCAACTCTTACTGACCAATAGGGTTCAGTTTTGTTATTATTTAACTCCTATATTGATCCCCCACTTGATGTTGTCTAAAAAGTCTAATCAACTCTTACCGACCAATAGGGTTCAGTTTTGTTATTATTTAACTCCTAAATTGATCCCCCACTTGATGTTGTCTAAAAAGTCTAATCAACTCTTACCAGCCAATAGGGTTCAGTTTTGTTATTATTTAACTCCTAAACTGATTCCCCACTTGATGTTGTCTAAAAAGTCTAATCAACTATTACTGGCCAGTAGGGTTCAGTTTTGTTAATATTTAACTCCTAAATTGATTCCCCACTTGATGTTGTCTAAAAAGTCTAATCAACTCTTACTAGCCAATAGGGTTCAGTTTTGTTATTATTTAACTCCTAAATTGATCCCTCACTTGATGTTGTCTAAAAAGTCTAATCAACTCTTGCTGGCCAATAGGGTTCAGTTTTGTTATTATTTAACTCCTAAACTGATCCCACACTTGATATTGTCTAAAAAGTGTAATCAACTCTTACTGGCCAATAGGGTTCAGTTTTGTTATTATTTAACTCCTAAATTGATCCCCCACTTGATGTTGTCTAAAAAGTCTAATCAACTCTTACTGGCCAATAGGGTTCAGTTTTCTTATTACTTAACTCCTAAACTGATCCCCCACTTGATGTTGTCTAAAAAGTCTAATCAACTCTTGCTGGCCAATAGGGTTCAGTTTTGTTATTATTTAACTCCTAAACTGATCCCACACTTGATATTGTCTAAAAAGTCTAATCAACTCTTACTGGCCAATAGGGTTCAGTTTTGTTATTATTTAACTCCTAAATTGATCCCCCACTTGATGTTGTCTAAAAAGTCTAATCAACAGTTTTCTTTACTGGCCAATAGGGTTCAGTTTTCTTATTATTTAACTCCTAAACTGATCCCCACTTGATGTTGTCTAAAAAAGTCTAATCAACTCTTGCTGGCCAATAGGGTTCAGTTTTGTTATTATTTAACTCCTAAACTGATCCCCCACTTGATATTGTCTAAAAGTGTAATCAACTCTTACTGGCCAATAGGGTTCAGTTTTGTTATTATTTAACTCTGAAATTGATCCCCACTTGATGTTGTCTAAAAAGTCTAATCAACTCTTACTGGCCAATAGGGTTCAGTTTTCTTATTACTTAACTCCTAAACTGATCCCCCACTTGATGTTGTCTAAAAAGTCTTATTGAATGCTTTCCAATGTGTGTGAAGTATTTTTCTTTTTAACTCCCTAACTCCCTTCTTTTTTTTTTCTTTTTCCAGAATGAGAATGCAGCAAAATTTTTAGAGTCTTGGAAGAAGACTTTGCTTGAAGGGTTTAACCGAAAACTGTCTTTTTACGAGAAGCAGAAAAGATGTAAGTTTTTATTTTCATAAGAATTTCCCCATGCTTCATAGCATGCAGTCTACAACCTAGATGATCATATATTATCATGAACAATCTGACTTTTTCTGTTAGTATCTTTTTTATTTACATTTGGACTTTTGTCCTCATAATTGCTGTTAACATCACAATGTTTCAGCTATTGGGTCCTCCGGTTTTCTTCAGGTGTCTGTCAAACTTGATGCCCTTCAGGGAATATAGGGGTAGATTATTTTCATTCTGCTGTCCTTTTCTTGGGATATCTAGAAACAGATCAAGTAATAACTAAGCAGCATTAGCATAGAACGAGATGTGATGTCCCAGGACATGGACAATGGAAGGATTACCTGGATTCACGAGTAGCTGAAGAAGGCCATAATGGCTCAATGGTCAAAATGTTGTGAGAACAGCAGATAGAACAACTGTCCAAAGTGTGAATAAGGTAAAAACAGCACATCTTCTTGAATGTGATATCATATTTTGTTTAAGAGTTGAATCCGATAGACTAGAAAGCAGAAAGTCGCATCAGTAACATGGAACAGTCATATAGTAACATACAAAAAACCCTAATAGATGTACTGTAGAGTCAGGTTATTGGAGAGTGAAAAAAATAATAAATCAATACACTAGTCAGGTATCAGGTGACACTAAGTGTTTTATTTTATATCTACCTTCTGCTAATTAACTATGTTTTTTTATTAAGTATTCTGCTCAAACTTAGTATCTGTTGTATTTCATGTTTCACAAGATAACAAAAAGAAATAAATAAGGAAGACAAACTCGTATGTAAGTAATAAAAAAGGTTTACTAAACGAAGGTGCACTTAGCAATTGAACTAATGCTAACTCTTCTCAACTCCGCTTATTTACAATCGTTGGCTTATTTAATGTCGACATTTGTATGTGGCACCTAGTGAGGATCAAAAATACTATTCAGTAGCAAAGGTGAATCAGACTAGCCTTGCTAATCATTAACCTATGCTGAGTAAGATTGTTGGCTTATTTAATGTTGACATTTGTATGTGGCACCTAGTGAGGATCAAACTCCTGATTCAGTATTAATGGTCAGTCAGACTAGTCTTGCTAATCATTACCTGTATGCTGAGTGAGATTGTTGGGTTATTTAATGTCAACATTTGTATAAGGCACCTAGTGAGGATCAAACTCCTGATTCAGTATTAATGGTCAATCAGACTAGCCTTGCTAATCAATACCCTTATGCTGAGTCAGATTGTTGGGTTATTGTATTCAAATTCTCGTCGCCAACTGTTGTATTTTGTGTTTTCAAGATAACAGAGGGAAATAAGGATGACAAAATCACAGATAAGTAATTAAATAAAAAGTTTACTACAAGAAGGTACAATTAGCAATCGACCTAATGCTAACTCTCCTCAACTCCGCTTATTTCCATAAACAGATGATTCGTTCTTTTATGTCCTATATGACAGTATCACAAATTTTTCTTCCAAACGAAACCTATACTTACTTGGTGTTTTTACTTGCACTACTTTTTTTTTTTTTATAAATTCTCCAAGTAATTTTAGGGGACTTACCTACTTCTCTTTCAATCTTCTAGTAATACACTAACAGCATTGTAGCATTATCATATTTACTGTTTTTAAAACTCAACTTATAATTATTGTACCTTTTTTCTTCCATTCATGTTCAGTAGCCCCTATATATATTTTCTCTTCTTTGACTTGATTACTATTTTCTACCTCTTTTTTTGCCAAATAAACTATATTTTCTGCTAAACAATTACCTTTCATAGGACGGGCACTTTTTAGTCTACCATTTCATATTGCTTTATTTTGTTTACAATCACTGTTATTGAGGAACATTTTGTTATCATTGTCAATTATTTTTTCTGATATTTTTACCACAACTGTAACTAACTTTGATGTTATTTTTATTGAAGAGTTTCCTCATTTTTTTCTGCAATAGCAAAATGTTTTCTAATTAATTTTAGGAATATTCTTCCTATATTGGTTTTTACTGATTTACTGAATGGTACATTAAACTATATTATTTTTCTACTCTTATTCTTTTTACTATTGTTTTGTTGTTGTTTACTATATTTTAGCTCATTTTTTACCCCACTTTTTTCTAATCTTTCTTTGTACAGGCTCTTACCTTTCTACAGGCTATAGATTTATATAAGTGTTTAGTGATGATAGTAGGATAATCGGACTCGGTGCTTATGTGTAGTCACAAAATTTCTGGGTTTTCTGTACAGTTTGTATTCTGTGGATATATTTAAACACACATCCAGGGAGTTCACTTCTATGAGTTTTGATTCTGTTTCTATTTTGAGCCCCTATTGTTTAAAAAACAATCCTAAATCTTTACAATGCTTATAGAACTTCCATTTTCACTTTTTATTATTATGATAATAAAAAGTGAAAATGGAAGTTCTATAAGAGAAAAAAAAAAAAACCTTCCACCTCATCTTCTTCAATTTTCTTGAATAGCTTTATTTTAAATTCATGCTGATTTGGTAGAAGTATACTTTTAAGCAAGTACCTGAAATCCACTTCTTCCATATTGTTTATCGTTAACTTTTACTTTAAGGTTCTACATCAAACTAGGTTTGTTTACATTGAGGTGACTGCAATGTGCATGAACAAGAGATCCTGGGAATTTTAAATTTAGAAAAAAAAATTTTTTTTTAAATATGTGTTTTGTATGTACAATCTAGACAATTTCATTTAGACACTTTTTGTTACTAAATATCCCACATTATAACAGAAGATTTGTCAAGAATTGTTAAACATTGTAAGAATTTGAACATAAATATACTGCTGATGAACTAGCAATTAAAGCACTTTCTAAACATTTTCATCTTAGTAAATTATTTTCTCTTTTAATTAAAGTAGCATTTTTTATGTTAGAATAGTGGTAAGTCTTGTTATAGTGAGCAACTAATGTCTTTAATGTGATGTTTTATAAAATATCTTTTGTGTTCATGTATTATTTTATTTAAACTTCTTGAGGTTTCTCCAATATAGTCTTTCTGGCAATTTTTGCAGGTGATAGAGTAAATTCCTCCTTCAAGTTTTAGCTCATTATTTTGTTTAGTATTGTTTAAGCCTGTTATTGTTTTAGATTTACTTTTGACAAATTTTGAGTTTAGATAAATTCTTTTTGATTGTAGTTGTGCTAATGGATAGAACAATATATTTTTTTGATTTGTAGGTTTTGTCAGCAGGGACTGCTTTCTATTTTGGAATATTTTATGAACCTTTTGTTTCGCATTGATTATGAAATAGGGTATTGGAGATTTTGAAAGTATTTTTAATATATTTCCCCTCTTCATATAAATATTGAGGGCTGTAATCCAGAAAATAGTGGTCAATGTACAATAAAAAAGCTATAATTTATATTAATAATAAATATGCATTTTTTACTTCACTGGTATTGCAGTTCTGAGTTTCATGCGCAATGCAATCGTCAGGTGCATGAAACTCAGAATTGTGCTACCAATGAGGCAAAAAAATGTATATTTATTTTTTTTTTTTTTTTTTTATTTGCTTGGACATTCAGGAGTTAATCACACCAATCACCACAGTCCTGATTCAAATTTGGAAGGTCATTAGGGAGGCATTCTGTGTCATAACATAGCTTGTCAATGTAGGTGGTTGCTGGGCAGCCAACCCATCTTGCTCTATGGCTAGGTGTCCAGAACAGATTACTCGCAGGCTCTTATTTTGCTTGCCAGCAGTGTTCTGCAAATTGCATTCTGCATTTGCATAAGATTGTCAAAATATCAGTGATGGGTTCATAAAGCTGTGATTTAGTTAGATGTTGTCTCCAAGGTATGTTAATTATAGCTCACAGCATCTGAGTGTAGGTTCCATTAAGCTTAGACTCTAGTGTTTTAGTTAATGTCCTAGCAGTGGCACCAGACATTACAACTGATTCTACAGTGGCTTGAAAGAATCTCCACTTGAGTTTGTCTGGTAGATTTACAAAACCAATGTAATACACACATACTTCAATCAATCTTAACCTCTTCAAATCACGAAAGGTAATGATTTTGTCACAAGCTAATCCAACAGTGAAGCACCAGAATTATAAAACCAAATGATACAATAACACATACTTCAATCAATCTTAACCTCTTCAAATCACGAAAGGTAATGATTATGACACACCATGTGCTACAAGCTAATCCAACAGTCAAAGCACCAGAATTATAAAACCAAATGATACAATGTAATACACACATACTTCAATCAATCTTAACCTCTTCAAATCACGAAAGGTAATGATTATGACACACCATGTGCCACAAGCTAATCCAACAGTCGAAGCACCAGAATTATAAAACCAAATGATACAATGTAATAAACACATACTTCAATCAATCTTAACATCTTCAAATCACGAAAGGTAATGATTATGGCATATCATGTGCTACAAGCTAATCCAACAGTCGAAGCACCAGAATTATAAAACCAAATGATACAATGTAATACAAACTTAATCTAACCCTGCTTGATAGCATGAAACCTTGAATGGTGATGGAACAGTAACTCCATTTACTACAAACTAATTCAGTAGTAGAAGCATCAGTTTTATAAGACTAAAATAAAATGACATAATTAAATCTAGTCATTAACGGCTATCATATGTCACAAAACAGGGTCAAATGTTACCATGTAATAAACACCTGCTTCAATCCATCTTCATAGAATTAAATCATGATTAGTTATGAACCTGACACACCATATACTACAAACTAATCCATTGAAGGTAATGCCGTGTTTACAAGACCAAATATTTAAATCTAAAAAAACATTTACTTCAATCGGACTTAATAAGATCAAATCATAACTTGTAATGAACTTGATACGCCATGTGCTGCAAACTAATCCAATAATGAAAGCACCATATTTATAAGTCCAATGTAAAATAATACACATTTACTTTAATCCTTTAAGATTTAATCCTTTAAGACCAAATGTTGAATGATTTTGATTCTGATATATGTAGTAAAACCAAATTTAATGTTATTTGTGAACTAGGCTTTGGCCCAAGGATAGTTAACATTCTGTAAATTAAACACAGAAAAAAAAAAAAAATTTCTTGTTTTTCTGACTCTTCTTACAGCTGACAACCGAATGAGTCTCTACCCATACATGAAGCTTTTCTCACCAGATGTTTATGTTAACATCATGTTAGAAGTGAGTGTTTCTTCAATACTTTCCCTTATGGACCTATTAAATTATACCTTCCCAAGGAATAATTCATTGATGTTTCTCTTTTAATTAAACAGTCAACATTGCATGGATTTTAGCTGCATTATGTTATGACAATAAAAATATCTTCTAATTCTTTGAGAAGCCATTATGATCATGCCTCCATAAAACAATAAAGCAATGCTATATTCTTAATACTTGATATAATAAAAAAAATATCGCAATGATAAAACCGCTTAATAATTATTTATGACCATTTATACTGGGACTCATGCATTCAATCACAAGTAATCCATAATAATATTTAAAATTTTCAAATCCTATTTAATTTTTGGCATATAAATTTTTTGAAACTGTTTCTAAATCTTTGATTGTTTTTTTTTCAATCATTCAGCCTCACCTGCTATCCTATCACACTGCACATATGAGGCATGCCATAGCATTTGGGAAGTACTGCTCTACAAAATCTATTGTCATATATATATATTAAGATGGCACTTTTTATAATTTTAAAATCATATTTAATACTATTTTCTCTTTATTCATTGCTAATCAGCAAGCTGACTTCCAGTTGCATTTGTTATATTTACACTCATGCAAATACCATTGGGAAAGGGTATAACTCCACCTCTTCCCCCCATCTATGGGTTAATTAGTAAAACTATTATTATTTATGTTATATCTCGTGCAAGATATAATAAACAAAGTAACCCGAGTGTTGGTTTTCAATAATAGGTTTATAATCAGATGTAGGTGTGTCAAATACAGAGTCGGGAGTATGCTAACCTCAATAGGTGTTAACAAACGAAGACTTTTCAACTGTCTGCTGTGGTCGTACTTAATCGGCAACCAGTCCGTCCATTATCGTGAATGGGGAAGTAGGGTTATATCATCACAACAATTTAAAAAAAAAAAAAATTTCTTACAATCTAAAAATATTTACTGGCTTTAAATAAACCTGATAAGCCATAGAAAATGGATCAATCAATCAATCAAAAAAAAAAACCCAGGCTAATGAGAGTACTTTTTCATTCCTCTACAAAACTGTTATTGCAGTGTTAGTTTGATTGATTCATTTTTTTATGATTTATCAACCCATTTCAGGTTATTTAAAGCCAGAAAATATTTTTGGATTTTTTTTTTAAAGATAATAATGGTCTTAGTCATACAAGTCATACTAATTAACCCATAGCTGGGAGGAGAAGAGGTGGATTCATATCTTTCCCAAGGGTATTTGTGCACAAGTGAATATAATTGGAACTCTGGTCTCCGATTAACTATTCTGAGCCATTATCCATTGCACATCCAAGCTTGCAGTACTTGCTATTCCCATGCCCTCACCCGTATAAGTACTGACCAGGCTCAATGCTTTTTTTAACTTTGGTGATCATATGGAAACCAGTGTTTTAAAGGGAAGTGGCTGTAAGCAGTGTTATTTTGAAATTTAATCTTTATTTTTCAGGAAGCAACAAAATTAGCCACAGACTCTGAAACCTTCAGTCCAAGTCTTGGATTTTTATGGCAAAGAATGGGGAACCGAATATATTATAAGTACCTTATCGAAGACAAGATCAATTCTCTTGTAGCCAAAAAGGTAAATATTTAATTCTTGTAGAGCATGTATTAAAATGCAATTAAGTTGGAAATTGTTTTTCTTATTACTAGTGTCGTGTTAGTTTGAAGATAAGCAGTGCTAAGTCAGCCATTTTTACTTGAGATACAAGGAAGAACGCAAATACATTGGGGATTCTTTCCTGTTATTGGTTCAGGTAACAATGAACAGTATAATGTTAATTGGTTAAGAGATTTGAAATACCAAGCAGTGTGTTTTTACTTGGGGAAATATGAAAGACATTTTCTCAATCATACATATGCATGATAATTGTTGATTCTTCATAAAAAAAGAAACTGCAATATTATTAGTCCTGACCTGGCATCTCAGTTTCAGTCACTTCCTACTGCTGTAACATAGATTCCTTGTACCTTTACTATAAATAATTTGATGCTAATTGTTCTCATGAGATTTCCTCTATGGTACCTAGACTTTATGAATTTAAGTCCAATACTAGATTGGAAGCAAGATCTCATCCTTTTACAGTTAAAATGGCGAGATGTAACCATAAGTTTTAAGCTAACATTTTCATTGTAAGTGTGCTGTTATAATAACTTTAAAATTAAACATTGTGATTACGTTGTTTTGTAAATAAGGGTTCCCAATGCAAGGGGGATAACCAGAGATGGTAAATTGCAACACAGCATTATATGTTAGTGAGATTAAATGCATTTTAAAAGATTGCTACAATACTTGTAATGAGTTTTGTTCAGTGTTGGTTGATTGCTTTTGATAGAGATGGCCTTGAGAATTTAAAATTTGGTTAACAAAAAATACAGCACCTTCTTTGATGAATTTCAACTTAACATCAAAAAGATAATTAGAGAACTAGGATTATTTTAAAAATAGACATAATGAAATATGCTTTAGTGAAGATATGCTGCCTAATTATACACACATACCCATATATCCATATATATATATATATATATTTAGACAGCATATCTTCATTCAAGTACTCAACAGTGAAGAAGTTATTTTTATTTCGTATTCACTACCGTGCCGTAGTTTTTTTTCATTTCTTATATTTTCCCAAGTAGTTTCAATCTCATCCAAGATCATCATCAGGGATGAATTACTAAGACAAAAAAATTAATGTAATTGATAGCTGTGAATTCACAAGACAAACGATTAATGTAATTAATGTTAATGTTAATTACATTGTTTGTCTTAGCAATTCACCCCCGAAGATGATCTTGGAGGAGATTGAAAATACTTGGGAAAATAAAAGAAATGACCAAAACTACGGCATCTTTCTTAATCAGTTTAATAACAGCACTAAGAATTTTTACTTAACATCAAGAAGATAATTAGAGAACTACAAAAGATTATTGTAAAAATAGACATAATATGTCTATATTATGTCATGAAATATATGAGATAACGATATATATTTTTATATATCAAGAATAATATTGGAGGGAAAATGTATGACAAAGTTTTCTTGTGACGTGTTTCATCCTTTAAGACTTCATCAGACTAAATTTGTTATGTTGGTGCAACTACACATGCACATGAATGAGGGATGCTGGGAATTTTAAATTATTTTTTTTTTAATCTACCCGATTTCATTAAGATTCTTTTTCTTTTTATCACTTTTGTTCGTAGATATCTGACACTGTGATATCAGAACTTCTGCCAGGAATGGTGAAATGTTGTAAGTGCCAGGGAGCAAATTTACTGTAGATGACCTCGTGATGAAGGCACTCTCTAGACATTGTTGTCATAATGAATTGTTTTCTGCTTTGATCAGAATAGCATTTTATTTATGTCAAAATTGTGGTCAGTCTTATTACGGTGGGCAACCAAAGCATTTGATATATAAGCTAAAATAAAACTTAACGAGAAATTTACTCAATTGCCTGTAATAATTGTTACAAAAAATACATAGGAAAAAACTCAAGAATTTGAATAAATGTACATATGAATGTAACACCAATCCTCTCACACAGTGTCAGTTGTAATGTGATCTCTTGTCAAGGCATCCATGTGACATCATATCCTAACTCCACTGGGTTGATGTCATCCACAAGACAGGCCGTTGGTCCTGTATGGTCCAATATTACGGGTTAGACCCAAGTCTCTGGTTTCAAATGTTGATTCAATTCCACTCACCAGCTATGTTGTAATTTTTTGATCTTGGCAAGTAGTTATCGGGTCGTAGAATTCCGAAAGCTTTCCGTTGGTCTACCTGTAAGCTTGTTGGGTGAGAATCGGGTTAACAGCAAATAAATATGGCCAAGTTGATCCGGTTTAGAGGGACAAAAGTTTTTTTATATATATAACACATACAATACATATAATAACACAATTCTCGTGGCAAAAAGTTGAATGTCTCTTGTATATGAACGATGATCAAGAAAACAAAAGAAAATACTTTGTGTAATTTTGTTAAAGGCGAGAGGTGGCTTTGTTTTAACCCTTTTTGATTACTGTAGCTTGTTCGACGTTCCCCACATCAACACAAAACTCAAAAGGGACATTTTACAAAACAATACATCAAATGCATCCTTTGTGTGCATTTGTGTTATCACACCAACATAACAAATTTAGTCCAATGAAGTCCTAAAGGATGAAACATGTCACAAGTAAACTTTTTCTGCTTTGACATGCATTTTTCCCAATATGTGTGTGTATATATGTGTGTATGTGTGTATATGTGTGTGTGTGTGTATATATATGTGTATGTATATATATATATATATATATTTAATAAAATATAAAATATTTTCAATTTTTTTAATATAGACTATCTAAAAGATTTATTTTTAATCATATTAGATTTTATTTGAAAGACAATTTGTCTAACTTTTGGATAAGCCTTTTATTGTTTTTTGTTATATATTTAATAATTTCGTTTTTTTTTTTTTTTTTTTTTTTTTTATCCCTTTTAGCACATCATTTTTAAAATTTTTTCATTTTTTTTTATATATATCAATATATATATATATATATATTAATAAAATAGAACTGTAGGCTTTTTCCTTTGTACTACCCAGACAACATCCACCTTGAGGTCTCATCTTTTTTGAACTATCGTCTTAACATGGCGGTCATTTTGTTTGGTTAGCTCAGTAAAAATTTCTCAAATTTTGTTTTTTTTTTTAAATATTTTTAAATATTTAAGTTTCTAACAAAGAATCAGTCCACCATTTGGGTTGAATATACATTTATATTTTAAGATATTACACCAAAATCATGTCAAAATCACTAAACAATTGTATTCGTGTTTGATGCATATCAAATGCATCTCATCAAGGCAATGATAAATTAAATATGTGGTGAGTGAATGGACTTAAAAGCAAAATACAACCTCTTTTTGTAAAATAAAAATCTGACCATTTCCCCAAAATTGTAACTCTGGAATTCATTCTCATCTTTTGAGAAATATATATATATATATAAGAAATATAGTCTTAACGGTTTGTGCTATATTTATGGGATAAACTCAGTATCAGTGATAGAGTGAGTGTAAATAAAAGTGAACATAGACTGCATTCAATATAAAGTGTTGACTTTTATGTTCACAAACACACACACACACATATATATATATATATATATATAGCATATATTGAACAATTAAAAAATATTGGAAAAAATAAAAATCTTCAGACACACTTTTTGTATATTAATATTCAAATTATTATTCCATTTTTCCTTTGATTATAGGCCAACATGGCCATGCATCAGGAGAAAAGTAATTTTCCTTGTTAAAAATTCTTGAACTACAGGAATGAATGTCTTCAACAAAGAAAATGAACTTTTGTATATAGTTTTCATTTGTATATATATATATATATGAATATTAAAATATATAAAAAATAGGAATAAAAGAACTATCTGGAGGTAAATAATCAAAACATGGTAATTGATAATGTAACTTTCAGGAAATTAAAATTAGTTTTAGGAAAAAATATGTGGAGATGGATCTAAAAAAAGTTCTCATGTTTCAAAACAAGAGCTGAAAACTTCAATATAATTATGTGAATTAAAGAAAGTGGATCTGGGAAGCTAAAAAATTCCATCTTCAAAGAAAAAATTCAAATAAATAAAGTCACCAGATTTTTACAAAACCTGAGAACTCTTATTATGATGGAATCATATTTTTAAATAATTTATATATATATATATATATGGATATATATGCAAAAATTTGAGTTCAAATATAAAGTGATGCCTTTTAAAAGAGATGACAAACTAATTGTAGACAAAATTTCAATAATCATTCAACCATGGTTTTACCTTGCTTAGTTGTCTCAATTGAATTATAACTTTGTTTTCTTAATCAATTTCTGAAAAGTGTAATATCTACAGATAATATTAAACCATTATTACTGATGATTTCAAAGAATTTTTAAAAAATTCTCCAAGAATTAGAATATGATGTTAATAGACTGGTGGATCTGGCCAAAATTGGGAGAATGGTAAAATAATAGGAATAATGAAGTATGGCATCCAAAATAAGATGGAATGTTTAATCAACAATGAAGAATTGGATTTGAGTCAAATCAATTCATGATGATAAACTTTATCAGTCTTTCTGTGTTATATTGTTCCTTCAGGATTTAAGCTTGATAAACTCTAACACTTTCACAAGTAAGCCCAGATCTGTCTTTGGATAAAAGATAACAAGTGGTTTCTGTTGCCTCCTCCAAAGGGAAAATTATTTTTCCTTCTAGGAATGGTTGCCATTCAAATCTGAAAACATCGATCACAGTCTACCCTATTTATTTTTATTATCATTTTAAGAATAGGCAATTATAATTGAATAAAAATGATTTTTTTTTTTTTTTTTTTATAAAATGCATCCTTGAAATCGTTCTTGCAAAAATAATAAGATGGAATGAAGATTAAAAAAGGACAGTGGGTTTTAAGATGGAATGAAACTAGTAATAAAATAATGACAACACTTTTTTTAAATACCTTAAAATTTTAATATTAAAAATAATGAATTTATTTGGCATCAATAAAATAACAGG